ACTTCACCGGAGACTGAGGCTCGAGCGTTTCCCTAAATGCAAAAAACAAATGAATCATTTACTCAAATAAATTCAGAAAAACTCGATTTTTTAATGCTCAATGATCGAATGAGGATACGCGGAAAAAGAATAGATGCAGATATGATGATTCTATAGACAATAGCTCAATAAACGTGGCCTGAGACGAGCTCTGATACTGCGCAATAATCACGTGGCCTCCGTGGCGCAATCGGCTAGCGCGTTCGGCTGTTAACCGGAAGGCTGGTGGTTCGAGCCCACCCGGGGGCGATGTGTTTTTTGACAAACATCTTTAACGATTAGAGTATTTTTCTTTTTAGCTAATAATGCTTAAGCATAACTATGGTAACCTTAGGAAATAGTCGAGTCAACGGCTTTTATCGTATTCACACACTTGAAAACATGCAAACAGATTACTCGTTTCGGACCCACAGAGAGCAGACATCTCGCAGGAAGCAGTATTTTATTCATTACAGTGAGATTTTATAAATGTAGAGCATCCGTTTTACAGAATTCGCAAAAACATAAATTTTCGACACATTCTAAGCTTAAAGAAAATACCATTGGAACTGCGCTTGCACACGTCAACATATTTAAAGCTACAAACTCGCTGGTCAGGCATAACATTAGCTAAAAATAACCATGATGAAAGATACATATATGCAATTAGCGCACAAATAACATTTCACTTGCCTGTGTAAATGATTATTTCCGGAAATGACGACAGCAAATGTGATCAAGAGGTTGCAGTAATACTCAGAGCACTTCAGCACTGCCGAATAATCCACAAAACATTTGTGCTTAAATAGACAGCATGCACTACGACAAGGACAAGAAATATTTGTATGCCGATAAGATTAGAATGCACACATGGTTTTATCTTGAATTTTGTAACGTTGTGGAGATGTCAGACGTAAAATTGATATTTTTGCATTAAACCCTCGTCATCATTATAACATAGTAAGAAAACACGGTCTATCCTAGGACAAGGTTTACTTCAATGCTTTGTATTCTAGGCAGGAATTATTGGCTCTACATGGAAGCTGGACAGTTTCGTATGTGAGGTTTCTATCTACGATAGCGATACACAAATGGGTTTAGCTTGCTGGAGCAGAAGTGGCTTTAACTGTTAGCTTTCCACGGGTTGGGAGAGGAGTTTCGCGCGCCGGCTAATATATTGTGGTAATGACAAGATTCGTACGAAAAGATTAAATTTTACCTAATTTAATCGATAGGTAAGAAGGTACAGGGCAACTTGAGCGACATTGTTCTAAAGGTGACATTTACTTAGTACGATGCAGCAAATTTGTATCTAAATGATTTTGTAATGAAAGTACAGCAAGCAATAATATGTTTTCTTTTCACTTCGACAGAAGGGATTTTGGAACACACACGCTAAACTTAGGAAATAGGTAGAACAGGCATATGGTAAGACAAATTTTTGATTGTTCACTGATACGGATTTGTGAAGCTAAAGAGTCATATTTGCATGTAAAGCAAAAATTGTTACCTACAAAATGTTTTCAAGCAAAATATTGAAACGCAACAAAATAAGCTAAAGCACTCACCAAGATATCCCTTTCAATAGTCTTTTTAAATGATTACTGCAGATAACCGAATTATATCGAGGGTGCTGGGGTTCAAAAATTGCAGGACTTCCGAAATATAGATACTTAATTGGTATATTATTTAGACATCTGTCAAGTTTTGAGATATATAAAGTATATATGCAACGAATTATACAAAAATCTTAACTAAGTTCTAAATGGAATTTGCCATTTTCGAAATTCTGTTACCGATTACAAGAAATATCACTTTTCTAAACGAACCTGTAAATTTCCTGATTAGACCATGAAGACCTCGATACTAATGCAGTCCTTCGAAGGCACACATGGTGAACTTAATCATTACTCGTATATGCATTATTTAACAATGCTTGTTCCACTACAGCTTCGAACGAATATTTTATGTTATTATTTATTACTGGCTAACTATATTATCACTTTAAATGGGTGAGTGTTAATGGTGGATTGAAGGGCTATCTTGGATAACTCATTAGAATAAAATAGAAACATAGAGCATTGCCTATGAGGCAATTGTATTTACTACCGAGTTGAATGTATATTATTAATGTTTCGCCAACGACAATATGTTATTTGTTCATCTTTAGATTATCAGTTCTTCTTGCGTTGTTTCACAATCTTTTTTTTTTCACAAACATTTGTCCTAATAGTCATGTGGTAAACAGCTGCTTTAGAATAGGTTGTTCCGTTAATTGCCCTTGGGTGATATTAGGTTGTATTAACGGAACGTCAATAGTGATGTGCATTTTGTCGTCTAATCCTTGGCTACCTTTCCCGGCAACCCCAACGCCCCCATTAACATAATGTAACAAAAAACCTAACGTTACTAGTCGATATATGTGCACAGCTGTCACCATGTGTATTATTGGTATTATTACAATGATGTTCATTCCATGCAATCCTTCAATCAGATGAATATCGATCTCTGCATTGCACGATTTTTGCGTTCATGTTTTTGTTTTTTTTTTATTAAAAAATGTGATCGAACGTCATGTCATTACTTTGGTCTATCGTTTCAAATACTCGATTGGTCATTTTCGAAATTTTCGCAAGGTGACGACGTTTCGACCCGTTCCCGTAGCGCTTTCGCTTTCTCCTTCCATCGCTCTATCGGGTTGCTGTCTTTGACCTGGACTAAAGTATCAATTTCAATGGAGCAATTCTGGGTCGCTCCTTGCGCAACTTCTGGTCTGTTATTACTCCTTAATACTTCCAAGTTTTTACTTGTTCCACTATAACGTAGAAATAAACGTTTGAATTTTGGGTAAGGTACTGCTGTTAAGTATTGTGACAGACGGAGTGTGTATACATTCAATTTCGAATCTACACCTCATTATTTATGCTTAAGTTCAGTAAGTGATCCCGTCAGCACTGCATTTTGGCGAGAGCTAACCTATTCCAAATTTACATACACATGCTACAAAGACAAGTTCTGTATATACCTGGCACGTGTTGCGTCATTATAGTTAGATATTGATACACGTATATAACACAGAGTATATGTAGCATGAAATACAATAAATTTGCATTCTTAGTGAAGCAGTCACGCCATGTTTGTCGTGCGTTCGTTACTATGCAAGGAGACTTTACTTGCATGTAAAGGCAGTAAATATTACGAGTATAGTAGCGTGTGAGTCTGAAAGTGTTTGTAGAGATTACCAAATAAGTTGGAACGGCTACATACAAACTAATCTATGTTCTGAAATAATACCTATATCAATAACCTACTTGAAAAGTTTTTTTTTTTTTTCAGATTTTAAACTGCGTCAACTTGACTAATCGTGCAAGGAATCATTATTGCTTACTACGCTAACTGGAAGCGGAGCGACCGTGCTTACAGTCGCTGGAAGTGTTGAAAGATACTCAGACATTCATGCGTATTGTGTACGTCGACTTGACGAAGTATACTGAAATTTCTTTAGGTAGCACATACTCACGGTTGGCTTTCACAAATTGATATTAGAAACCATGTTGTTTAGTGCAGTTAGGTTCATTAGTGTTGCATAGCTGTCTGATAACGTGTATACAAATTGAGTTTAATAATATTGCCCCGTAGAGATATAGGAGAGATCGCTGATCCGATAGCTAAAAAAAAAGGAGAACACAACTAAAGGTACAAGATTTTTAAATAAGTATATTCTGAATTTCTTATACAATTCAAAGCACCTGCCTCCGATTGATTCCGACAGCTTCATGAATTGCGTATGTAGTCTATAAAACACCAACAACGAGGAAACAAGCCAAAAATGTATCCGGTCTATAAATTACACGCGTTAGCTGTTATTCACGTATCCATTATGCGCTCGTGTCAAGCCCCGAGAAACAACGACAACGCGACATCTAATAATATATATTATTAGATACGCGACTTCTTTTTTTATACTTCACTATCTTGTACATTTTATGATACCCCTATACTTATATATGTAGCAGTTTGTAACAACCATAAGGCTGACTCACAATATGACACAAGTTCATCTTTGAACAGTTTACTAACTGCTGTCGTGTTGAAAAAAATTAGCTATTAGTTACGACAGGCACTTGCGTATCCAGTGTGGCCCCTATTTTTGCAAAACAAATATATGTAAACGAATTAAATATAATAATGTATTATTAGCTCGGTTATTAATGGGCACAAATGCCCATAAAGTATTGAAATACAGGTATACATGCAATGAGTATAACGCATGAGAATCATTCTGTTCATAATTGTTATCGGCACATTGTATAACATTCAGGTTCATTTTAATTGAAAAATATGACTTTACATTAACACTTGGCAAACAATTGTGCAAAAAAGTTACAATTTCCGTGGTACATTTTGATGTAGTACCACGTGTACTTTCGCCGGCGCAATATACATTAGCGCCATTTTTGTGTCGTATAAGCTTTTCATCAATTTCCATAGGACTGACCAAGCTCTCTGATGAGGCCAAAATTTTTAACACTAATAATTTACTTCGTAATTTAAAATACACTTTCATTAATAGCGATAGCTATGTGCCGTTACCCCTTATTCTCGTGCAATTTTCATAAACGGCCTAATATATATTGTTTTGTCATAAGACCTACAAATATGTTGGCCTGTACGCAAGACAAATAGGCATACGATCACTGTAGCTATATTAATCCTGAAAGCCTTAGGTAACTTATTACGCATACTAAAACTATGCAAAAACGCGTTTGAACTTTTTTCTTCGTTGCTGTTGGACTTATCACTTTTCACTGTGCCCTGAACTAACTTACACACGGAACAAAAAAAAAGGCCTTGGTAGCTGCATACTATCCCCATTCGACTTCTACCCAATTTAAGTTTCTTGATCTTACAGCTAGCGAGTTAAACTGTCATCACGTTAACCAACATAACGAAGTCAATTATCAGATTAAGCACAACCGATATTAACGGTACGTTCTTATGTATTTCTTTATTTGCTGGAATCACAATGCAACGTCGCGTGGAATATACAAAAAGCAAGGGCTGCGATTTGAATACTTCGAGAAACTCTCGGAACAATAGAGGTTACCAGCGTGCGCCAGCAGATACGTCTTTTTCTGATGGATTTTATCAAAAGCACCATCGTTCTAATTTACTACAAAACCTTTCATTGATTAGTGGTGAGCGATAATATGGTGGTCACCTTCGTGGTGTGCATAAGTGTACTGAACTGGGGTTTGAGCGTAGGCGTACTGTACCGGAGCAGTCTGGATGGTCTTGACGACCGTAGGCGCGGCAGCGGTCTTCACAACGGTGACAGGGTAATCGGCAGTATATGCTTTAACGATGGGAGCGGCCTGGACGGTTTTGATGGTTGTAAGTGCCGGGGCAGTCTGGTAGGTCTTTACGAGAGTCTGTGCAGGAGAGGCAACCTTCGTCACGGGGGCGGGAGTCTGGACGACCTTCACCTTTTGGAGAGCATGGTCGGCTGGGGCAGCGGCACCGTATTGGAAAGCGGCGTCATAGCCAGTGATAGCTGAAGAAGTGTACGTAGCATCGGCGGCGTCTTTGCTCTCGGTTCCGAGCTCGTTGGTCTCGATTTTGGCGACGAATCCGTTGGCGTCAGCTGTGTAACGAACGCTACGAGACCGACCATCGGCTAATCTAATAAAATACTCACCCTGGGAGTTTCCGTTACCGTCAGAAGTTTCGGAATGACCATGGGCTCCTTCTTCGGATTCGGCCTTGTAGGCAAACTGATAGGGAATAGGTGCGTATTGCTGCTCGGCCACAGGTGCGCCAGACTACAAGCAAATACAATGAGCGACATTCGTTAACTGCATATAGGTAGTTTTTATAGGTAGTATATTGTTTCTTTAATTAGAAACTAGGTAGGTTGGATTCTGTATAAACTAGCGGTATCCACATTGAATCCTCCTGTAACTTGAGAAATACTTGAATTTTGAAATTTCCGTGTATAACTTTTAGCGTTATGCTTATTGACATAACGAATGCAAGCTGAAGGCTTTAGGCTATCGCAACACCCTGGAAGCAAATTTTCTAGAAAATGTTGTCAGAAAAGTATCGGAACCATTTTCGTTTCCTTTCTTTTTGCTGGCACTTACGGCAGCCATTACAAACGTGGCGACGACGACGAAGGCACGCATGTTTATGGTAGACAGTCGTTGTGGAAGATTACAGACACTTCTGATGTCACCTTGGTTCGAGGCCAATGCTTTTATATATCCCGTCTAGGTAGCGGCGCGTTAATGGAACATCAGCAGAAAACAACGGAATCTGTATATGTTTGTTTGTCTGTTTGTGCGTATGCATAATGACGTGAGTTAGTAGAAAGAAAAAGAAAGGAGGAGTAATTCTCTCAAGCCTCTCGGTTAAGCCATGCTTTGAACCGTTCGAGTGATTGCTACAGATCGTTCGAACGGGCAGCTTATACAGAATCGCGTCGAATCGAACTCAAGGACGTCCTCCACTCTTTACGCAGCGGCCCAGTCTGTGCTGGGGTAGATAACAAATCTGTCAATGGCCCGGCGATGGTGATCACCATGAAAAAGTACTTGACATGCAGGACGGCATGTAGCAGCTCAGTATAAACGCGGTAAGCAAACGAGCGAGCCAATTCTGCAAGGAAAAGCAGTTCATTAGCAAAAGCAAATGGGCAAAGGGACTTCACTGTATCACAGCAATGACAGCAGCAGCAATAAAAGAAACAACGGCGGTGGTAGTAGCAGCGGCAGACAAAATAATTCTTCTTTTTCAGCGTCCCTTATTCGACCAGCTGTTTGTTGGCTCTGCCGAAAAACAGAAAGATAAACATCAAAGAAGATGTAGATTGTGGACAATGGCATTAATTACTAATCCCGGGGCGGTCGGTCGGTCTCTGTTAAGGCACCTTCGTCTTCGTTCTTTTCTGTGATCTTTTGCTCCGCTGCTGTCGTCGCTATAAATGCTGCGACCAGCGGTGATGCTTCGGAAAGTTCTGTTTGAACGGTTTATCTGGCCTAAATTCGAACGTAGAGGGCCTATTGGATTGATTTTGCCTGGAGATAAACGATGCCTTATGATAGATACACACGATTCATGCACGGCTTTGCGTTCGAACAATATGATACATAGGCACCAGATGGGCGCGTGTAAACAAACTTCCAGAAAAAAAACAAGTAAATATAGCCATATTGTTTATTATTGCTTGTATATTATAGTTGATTTTCGTTTTAATCGTTTTATATGATTCAGTTAGTGATCACTATCAATTATGTAATGGTAACAGTGCCTAGTTCCATTAGATCTCTTTGCCGTATCTCTGCTATTTGATATATGGTAATAGCGGTCATGATTTTGTTACAAGCCGCTGTTGTCACTGGCGAACTTTAGCAGTTGTAAGATTATCCAATCAACACAAACATTGAGTTAAGTTAAAGCCACTATTATAAAAATAAGCGTGTTAGCCATAAGGCTGCCATAGTCTCAGAACAACGTCCTGTATCGAACATTTCGCCGTTGGACACCCGCGTGTATGGATAAAAAAACTTGGGTTTGAGACGCCAAAATCATTGAGAAATCTTGTAAGACTCAATCCCCGCTATTAAATTATGGGATGGATTCGATGTTTTTTGCGGGCGAAAACCTCAACATATATGTGTTTCCAAATTGTGTAGGAAAAAATTGGAACGCAATAAAGTGTTGGGCCAGCAGCGGTAGCATGTCTCAATGCTGCACCTAAGAATATGTCGGGTGGTAAAGGCTCTACGCGGCCTGCAGAACTAGATCTTTAAAGCAGTGTTTAACGGCAATATTCAAGATATTTATTTATTATATAAGCAGCGAAAGCTAGCTTTGAAGCTGGAGCTTAGTAACTACAATACTAAACGTTTATTATGCCTATTTCAAGATCACTAACTTAAATAACAGGTGCTAACACACAAATGTGAGCCATATTTACACCACATCGAAATGTATTCATGTTATTATATCAGTAATTTTATAGATGTATATTATACTATAAAAAATTAGTATAGTTTTAACTATCAATACAGAGAATGACAACTATTTTTCCTGCTTGCTTTACGACAGCAGTTAACTTCTAATAGAATCATAAATGGAGCCAATGTTGAACTTTACCCACGGGAACGAATCATGCAGCCTTTTTGCCCTAAACATAGAATATATGTTTCACACGATAAATAACGTACGTTGGCATAATATAGTCCATATGCAACGCGCTCAAGCTTGCACAAAAACAAATTTTCGTCGTATGGAACAAAACGTAGCAAGCTTTAAAGATGCTCTTGTAACATTTTATATTGTATTAAGGTAGACTTGCTATATGTTGAAACAGCTTGAGATCAGTAATCAAATTGTTTGCTTTTGCCGTGTCGCGCCATCGTAGCGCTAATATACTACGTCGAATTGTCATACAAGGGATCTACAATAGCGAAAATGCCCCCTAATGTTCATTCCTGCATTTAATCAGGACAAAAATTAAACAACATAATCTGCTTTTAATTATTAATCATTTCTTTTTTTTAATTTTTAATAATAAACAAGTGAGACCGGCTTGCAGATTCACAGTGTGCTGAATGTCGTATAGGTATTCGATTCCTTCACAGGAAAAATAGTAACTTCTAATTTCCTGTCCATACTATTTCGTTTAGGAATTAAAAAAACAGTACTATTAATGGTTTCGGACAATGAGTATAACTTTCTAGCGCACTTTTAAACATAGTATTACACTTGTGATCTCAGTCGGGTACCGGCACAGATTACATTAATCCTACGCTTCTTGACCAGTAATCTGTTAAGTTATTATTTTCGACTATATAATACATTTTTTACAATAAACAGTTTAGAACCAACGATGCCTTTACTAAAAAAGCATCATTTTAGATTAACGGAAATAAACAGATTCTTATAAATATATAGTGAATAAAATAATAAGTAGATGGTGAAAAAAATAATGCTTTTTGGGAGGAAAATATTGCCCCTTTTCATATGTCTGCCTTCTGTACTTAGCGAGGCCTTCTCTACTTGAAATTAAAATTATTTCACGCAAAACATGGCTCAGTATGTAGAACATTACTGTTGTATATAGTGTTTTGTCTGAATTATATTTTTCATGGTATTTACCTATAGAATCACCCAAGGTGTTGACACGTTTCGAGTGAATTATTTCAAGTCATTTTATAACTACTTTGTTAAAATTAATTCAGGGCAATTACGCATTTCACAAGAGCGCGCCACATTTGAAACATAGACAGCAATATGCCGACCGTGCGTTGACTCGAATGGTCCAGTGAGTGCACCTTCTGAAGCTGATCCATGCATTAAGTGCTACAGTATTGGGTACGTGTTCAAGGTCTAATGTAAGGCAGTCTGATAACTTAATGAATCATGTGGTAGGGATCATTGCCTGCGTTTCGCGTATTGTCTTTACAACTGTCAGAAGATCAACGGTCTTTAAGGCGCTAATTGAGTGATATGCGGCGGTGATCCGCGTTACGGTTTTGACGATTGTGGAAGCAGACGTAGCAATCCGTGCGATACGTGACGCGAAAGCTCGAACCACGGTTACTGTGCGGGTAAGTGGCTGTTGTGCCCCATACTGAACGTTAACGTTTATTCCGAAAAAGGTAGTAGAAAAATAGTTGTGCTTCGCATCAGCGGCACCCCTCGATTCGATTTCGAGTTCATTTATTTCCGTCTCAACAACAAATCTATTCATTTCAGCGGCGTAACGCACGCTACGGGCACGTCCATCAGCTAGTTCGACGAAATGCTTAGCTTGCGCCTTTCCGTCACTGTGAGAGGTTTCAGAATGGCCACGGGTTCCGTCTTCGGATTAAGCTCGGAAGTTGGGCGAACTAGTAGGGCTTCTGACGAACGATGACTTGAGCCATTTAAAACCTGATCATTGGTCCTATAGCTAAATGAAGTACTTTTTTTTTGTTGCAACGATAAATTGATAGTTTTTTTGTTACACTGCTTCGCTGCCATTATCAAACTTTGGCGAACAGATAATAGAGCTATTACTTCTATAAAGCTACGACATATGTTTACAAAACTATTAATGTCTCTCCCTAAGAATGTGCAGTGTTTTAGAGATACAACAGGTGAGTTTGCAAAAAAAAAAAATGTGTATGTCGTATAATTCACGTGCCGTGTCAACAAACAAGGCAGCCATGACGAGTGCAAAAAAAGCGTTAATGTAGAAGTTGAATTCTACTTACGCCTAGAAGATATAACGCAAAACAGTCGACGATGCTGATGATATGGCTGGCACAGCTTTTATATTGTCTCCTTCGTAATTGGACCCACTGGTAAAGGATGACCCTAGCTTATGACATTGATACGTACCGTGTTGAAGGTAACAGTGTATGCGTAGTCTTCATCTATAGTTTCCTCAGAAAGATCTTCCGGCCGGCAGGCAAACAGTATCGATGGTAAGACTGCTATTCTTGGGAAAAACTATGTGATTGATAATTTCAATTAAAATTTTCATGTAATCAACCCTACTATACGTTGACGTGACAATAAATTCGCTTCAATCAGAGAGATATGTATACATGTGAGAAATAAAAAAGTAATCTTTTTTTGGTCTAATTTAAAATTGTAATTATTCTTTCGAAATTAAGCCGGCTGGCTTTGTTATCTCGTTTTATGATTATTACTGTTGATATAATTAATACTTGCACGGTAAGATAAAGGTACAGTGTGTATCGTATTCTGTAGCAGAACCCTCTGGTTCAATTATTTCAACGTGTCTGTGTTTTTTAAACAACATTGACCTTCAGCCACGGTCTGGCATGTCTGGTCCAGAATAAAGTAGCGGGTTAACTTTTTTTTGTTATTTTACAATTTCAAGGCGTACAACAATTGCTCATGTCCAATAAAACGAATAGCGTTACGTCAGATTGGATTGGTTTACTAAAGTTCATGTATGCCTTTATTAACTTGAAAGGGAGTACTAGTTCCTATAATGCTGAAAAATATTTCGTTGTTCCAAGGGCGCATTACGGTGCGGTGCACCCTAGCACGAATGGTTGTTAAGTCCGGTATAGATTTTTGTAGTCGTATATATGATAACAACTTGTCGTCGTCAGTTTATAAAAAGATTCTCCTTTTTTTGAGTCCGTTTCTTACCTCCTAGCTCGTATTGGCTAGAGATATATCTGTCTAAAGTAAGAGTCTAACATTGTCATGAGTAACTAGCTAAACTTTCAGTTGACAGGAACCAAACTTTGAACTTTTAAAATATTCATGTCTGCACAAAAAGCAGCCGTTAATTCAATAAACAGATTTTATAAATTGTAGTTCATGAAACAACAGTCTATTTATTTCGTAAATTACTCGCTCGATTAATTGTCTTCGATTTTCGAACAAACGGTACAAACAAAAGCATCGCTTTGTTCGCCGCATGTTTTGTCTAAATTCAAAAACTTAATTTCCTACAACCGATTGTCTCATTTCTTTTTTACGTCGTTTCCTAAGATTTTTTGATGACTTCCTGATAGTCACCATATACGGCGTAGCTAGCAGGGGCCTGATTCGTGTAGCCAATGGAGGTAGCATGGACATAATCGACCGGGGCCTGCTCGTACTGGATGGGGGCCGTCTGGAACTTCTTGATAACGGTAGGGGCTAAAGCGGTTCTCACCACGGTGACCGGTTCTGCATGGGCGTATGTCTTGACAACTGGAGCAGTGGCATAAGTTTTAACAATGGAACCAGTTCCATAGGCATTGATAGCGGGGGCGGTTTCATAGTTCTTCACAACAGGGTTGGTTTCATAGGTGTTGACAACGGGGGCGGTTTCATAGCTCTTGACAGTGGGCGAGGTCTTGACAGCGGAAGCTGTGGAATAGGTCTTGGCAACAGCAGAAACAGGGGCAGTCACGTTGACGATGGAAGCTGGCGCCTGGTAAACCTTTACTTGCTCGACAGTCGGGGCGGCAGCACCGTACTGGGCAGCCGGCGTGGCAGGAGCGTGCTGGGCAGCTGGGGCGGGAGGACCGTGCTGGGCAGATGGAGTGGCAGGACCATACTGGGCAGCCGGGGCGGCAGAACTGTACTGGGCAGCCGGGGCAGCAGAAGTGTACTGGGCAACCAGCCCGAGAGGACCGTACGGGGCAACCGGGGCAGCAGCACCGTACTGCACAGCAGCTTGCTCACCGGTAATAGCCGAAGACGAGTATTTTGAGTCAGCAGCGTCCTTGGACTCGGTACCAAGCTCGTTAGTGTTAACATCGGCGTGGAAACCGGTTTCGTCTGCCCAGTAAGTCACTGTCCTTTGGCGTCCATCAGCGAGGTTGAGCGAATACGAACCCTGGAGGCGGCCGTTGCCGTCAGAAGTCTCCTCGTGACTGTGGGACCCTCCATTGGACTCCGACTTGTACGCAAATTGGTACGGAATCGGCGCGTACTGCTCCTCCTGTTTATAGGGTTCATAATTGGGTTCAGCCGACTGGAATCAAACGAAATTTGAAATAACGTTTAGCGTCAAATGAGTTCACGGACATAATTTTTGTTCTCCAAATGATAAGTCTATGTTTTAAACACTCTGAAGAATAGGAAAGATTTGCAAGCGCTTCCATTCCTTCTACGTAATGTGGGCGTTGTTTAGGTACAAAAATGCACTCACTGCATATTATATACTACGTATGTACAAAGACTGGACTTAGTACGCAAAAGTGATGTTTATTACTTGTGAACAGTTAAAAATGCGAATCGCTCACGCAATACAGTCCACATCTAGAAAGGACAAATAATCTAATGGAAATACTTTTCTTGAGTTTTTAGGAAAAACGGCACATGTTTGACAGGATCAATACGTTGAAGACCTCAGCCTGCTTATTTCGTGGCTGTAGCACGCTGAAAAACACCAGTTATTATTGTAATGTTTTTGTTAAATAGCAATACTTTGAACTAAAAGAATTCACACATTTTATAGGTGGAAAGGTTGAAGCTCATCAAATCGCCTTCAAGGCTTAAACTAAATGGCAGATGGTATTCTTTATAACAATTTTGTAAAAGCTGTTTTTATTGAAGGCATTTAGAGTGTTTAAGAAGGCTCTTTTTATGACACAGCTTCAAGATTAGTTCATACTATTGTCATACAAGACTTGACCATTAGTAAACAATTGGTCATTCTGCATACAAACTAGCAAGTGATGTGCCTTGCAATGCCTCCAGTAAGACTACCATTGCTCATGTATAGGCTCAAAACAGCCCTTGCTCATATCTCAATACAGTTTCACCGACCCTAAGGTCACTGATAGACATAGCATAGAGCACTTCATTAGAGACCAAGCAGTCAGCACTTACATAACGAATTCTAATGATAGATTTATGTGTAAGAGTAAGTAGAGCTTGTCTAGCTTAGCGTAGGACGCTGTAAAACACCAGCCGATACGGGCGTGTCATTTGAAAGACATGCTGCTCGCGTCCAAGAAGAAATTTTAAAATCAATTTCTAAGCACTAAATTTTGTACTCACAGCTCTGGCAGCCAGGACAGCAAATACGATAGCCAAGAAAGCAAGCATCTTAACACAAAAGCAAAGCTGGAGTTCCTGAGATTGATTTGAGATGATGGCTTGAAGCCTTCATCTCTCTGCTTTTGTACCCGAACGAGTCGATTCTGTGGAGAGAATGAAAGAACACACATGTTCGCTTGAAGTCAAGTCGTTCTGAAACAAACGAGCAGTGCCGCTTCATGTGTCCCCAAGATTCTTCAACTAAATCCCCTTGGCGCCCTGCTGGCGTAACCATCGTATGCCCTATGGCGGTATCCAAACTCGTCTATCTAATGTTATCAGACAGAGGCTGCTTCTGTCCGTCCGAACAAGTGAAAGTCCGATAGTAGACTTCTATCGAAAAGGAAACTGTTCGCTGTAAAATAGTTCTGACGAAAGCAATATTTGTTTGATTATCCTTTATAATTAAATTGTGTCGGGGCTTACCATTTCGTACGTATGCTATACAGCATGTGTTAATAAGTAAATATATAAGTCGAAGGGTTATATAGGGAGAAAGATTATCCTGCAGTGTTGTAAACAGCTGAGCTATGTCTATGTCAACTTTATGTTGATGGACTTCAATCTGAGAGTTAAGTTCTATATTTCCATGTTATGAATGTCGCCATTATTTCAATTTTAAAAATTTTTAATTAGCTTCATTCCTATAAGGCATTATTAGCGCGGTCGTTATGACTGGTCGAAATACTATTCAGTGCTCGCAGAATATACTACCTTCCGTTTGTTGGTTGATTAGAGGTAAATGAATGGTGATTTTGACACGTATACGCTCTGGTTGAATCCTGCGCATCGTGGTATTGGCAAGTTATCAGGATATAGAAGATGACAAAAGTACTTCAGAGTTAAAACTAGGGCCGCTGCCTTTTGAATAATCTCGATTCTAAAACAGTGTTTGATAAATGACACAATGTTTCCTCGTAGCCTTTTTAGGTTTTGACATCAACGCCAACCGTTTTTTTTGCATGTAAAGCAACTTGGCTTTCATCTAGAATGATCCGTACTAGGGACTAGCAAAACATACAACGATATACACCCCACAAACAGGTTAATCATTACTGCATGGGTCAAAAATCGAGACGATACAATATATAATCGAACTTAGTGTGAAACGCCCTTTACACGAATTCGTTGACTTGTATCTACTGTTGCTCGGCGAAAACCGTCTCTGACGATATGGGATATATATTTTAGAGGGAGAAAAGGATCGAGCCATATGTGTCAAGTTCATGTACTCTGGTTGTTCTGTGATTTGCGATTTGCCCGTTTAACACGCTTTCTCTACCCATTCAGTTCGAGGCAGCTTGTCTATACGAAACGGTATCTACACAGTTGTCTGGTAAGGCTATTTGTTGTATAGCAAAAATGAACGTATCTTAGCAATGAAGGCTGCGGAACAAATAAGTATGTTTATTTAGTATTGACGTTAACCTACCGAAATTTCATAGTCGATAACAGCCCATAAATCAGCGGTGCCGTTGGACGCGACAACGGGGAGTCAGCCTCCCTACATGTACACTCGCTAATGTGTTCTAAAAGACACTTGCTTTAAACGTATTGTTGTTCTATCCAGTATATGCTACTAGATTTCTACGCCCGCCCGATTGGTTGAAAGACACAGTTTATGACTGGAGTGTCCGCGAAAGTCACTTAAGAGGACGCAGGAAGCCGAACAATTGTACAACATATTGCCAGTGCGGCTGGCCATCTCGGCACTCAATACGCTTATGATGGAGTAAAAAGCATTTCTAATTTGGAGCTATTATCTCGCTTCGAAATAAGTTACGCGCACCGTGTCTTCCGTTACTCTTATAGCTGTTTATTTAACAAGTAGACATGAATACGATGACTCCCATGTGAGCTATGTGATTATATCATTTATACGTTTTCGTTTCCTTTTATTATTTTCTACGGAAAGCTGAACCGACTGCTCTGCGCGGTAATCACGATACGCTTGATCTCCGAATCGGTTTATCTACAAGGACGAGACAAGCATACGATAAATTCTACAGTGCCTGGGATAAGACATCCCATCCTATCGTAGCAGTCGTCTACGTAGCGTTACGCTGACTGTCGCCTGCCAGAAAGTGTTCTGTTTGTAGTTAATGAAGATAGCCATCGTCTTGCCTTTATATGAGCATCAACAAGCTTGAAAGCAACCGATACACTTACTAGTTACCAACGGCAACTGGCATTCATTCTGCCACTGATGCCGAAATAATGACAACCATTCAGGCAGGCTTCCACGACTGCCCGTCGGCCTAGCCTCTCGAAAATTTTATGATGGTGCACCAATAATTTCTTGTCTGATGTGTAATAATATGTGGAAATAGCACTTTCTTCACACTAATGTGAAGAGCATTAGAGTGACGATGAATAATTAACCTGGGTCTGATAAGTCACAACCTATTACGATCTATATCTCTCTCAAGTACTAATAAAATATGGTATATAAACCCAAAATAGCTCAGATGCTTATTCGTCTCGTATAAGAAATCATAATACTTTTTACAATTTGACTTAATACGCGCCGGATCTATAGCAGCTATCTCTAAACGTACTTCAATCAACGTTAGATTTCTGCCTATAGCCTGCCACGTCATGAACAAAATTTGTTTACATTTTATCTATTGAAGTTAATGTTGCGCAGTATCAACTCAGTTATGATGACGCTGTACACAGCCTTCATTGGGCACTGATATATTTTGTTTTCATGATGATTTCTATATGTTTGTGATGTTTATATTACGTAGTTATATCTTTAGAATAGGTACCGCACATCTAGCACGAACGCAGGTAAAGCTCCTGCGTGTCAGCCCCTAACACACAAAAAAGGTTATCAGCATTGCTACCTATAATAAATCCAAACCACAAATAAAGAAAATCACCATTGACATTTTAATAACGAGAACAAATTTATTCCAATTAACTAAAAAATCATACGGTCATTTATAATTGAAACAACAGAGGAAACAGAGCTGAGAGAAAAGCAGAGGCGAGAGGAAAACATTAAACCAAAGAATATAAATCAATCAGTTAGGAAACTATTAGCTAGAACAAGCTTAGGCCTTTTGGTGAAGCTCGTGGAGATGGATCTCATGGTTGGGGTGGTCTCCGTACTTGAACTGGATGAAGGAAGGTCCAGCCGGAGCGGCATGGCTAGGAGCGTACGATACCGGGGTGTGGGCAACGGCATAGGAGATTGGGGCGGCCTGAATGGTTTTCACCACAGTAGGTGCAGCATGGGCGTACGCTTTGATAATGGGCGCAGGCTGGGTGTATGTTCTGATTATAGGCGCCGACTGAGTGTACGTTTTGATAACTGGAGCAGTCTGGATGGTTTTTACAATGCTGGGTGCAGCATGGGTGTACGTCTTGATTACTGGGGCAGCCTGGACGGTTTTAATGATGGCGGGTGCGGGAGCGGCGATTTTTACAGCGGGGCCAGGTGCCTGAACGATCTTCACCTTCTGGTCCGCCGAGGCAATAGTTCCGTATTGAATAGCAGCCTCTTTGCCAGTGATAGCCGAGGAAGAATACTTCGCATCGGCGGCATCCTTTGACTCAGTTCCGAGTTCATTGGTACTGACCTCGGCGCGGAAACCATCCTCATCAGCGACATAGGAGACGCTTCTCTGTCGCCCATCGGCTAGCGAAATGCTGTACGAGCCTTGGCGACGACCGTTGGCATCAGAGGTCTCATCCTGGCTGTGAGATCCCTCGCTGGTCTCGGCTTTATAGGCGAATTGGTAAGGGATCGGTGGGTACACTGGTTCGGAGTTGCGTAGAAGAACCTGAGCGGACTGAAATGCATAAACGATCACTTTAGTGCGAGTTTTTTGTTACAGTTACCTAACACAGGATTTATCCTGTGAGTGCACTACATGTATGTAACGGTGCAGATTGTCGGTTATGTCTTCGAGAGCGGAAAATGCCCATACACTGGCTTCTCTACAGTTTCCAAATGTATAGCAGAACAATAAAATACTTATATGACCAATCGCATGTCCGAATTTGTAGTAAGTGCGCCGAATGTAAAATATCACACTCACAGCACCAGCAGCGCACACGACGAGAAGTGCGATTGCAAAAGTCTTCATGATCGTGCTGCCCAGTAGAAGCTCCTGGAAGTTTCTGACGACCCAAAAGATCTGACTCTCACGCTTATATATGGCGATCACCAAAATACGAACCTTCACCATTTGCGAGGAGAAACCATGACGCTTCTTCTGGAGGGGGGGGGGGTCACTTGACAAGAGTAGATTAGTGACATATCTGGTCGGAATTAATAACTCATTATCGATTTCGTTCGTACAAAGCAAGAAAAAAGTATTTCTGTCTTCAATAAAGCTACGATCATTTAGGATAAATGTCGACCCGTATGAATATTGTTATTCAGAGACAAAAACGCCAGAAAAACACTCCCGCGTTAATTCCGTTAACAGGATGATTGAGACTAAACGAGTTGAGGTTACCACAGAGTCCTCAGTTGTACACACACTGGAATTTCTTATTTATATATATATATATATACACACCACTACAATAAAGCATGCAGTCCTACTTTGAATCTGGCCTCCTAAACCAGATCACAGGATAGCATGGAAACGTGCATTTTTAGGGTTGGTGTAGTATATAACAAAAGAAAACTAACCCTTAAAACTTTCACAGGTAAATTATGTAGGTGGTGAGTGCTCTAATGTACAATATCATAGACGACATATATCGTATATATATCGTAATATATTTGATATAGTAAGCTTAAGCAGTTTTAGTACTGCGTATAGGCACGCAGAACCCAATCAAACATGTATTACAATGAGGTGATATATAATGAAGCAGATGAATATATACATTGTCATTGAAATCACGACGATTTTGATCAACCCAATTGTAAGTGTCCTCCAAGTTTCACCTCTGATCTTTTTCATTTTATGCCTAAAACGCATCACGGAGCTTCATGCGCTAGTTTCCATGAACTAGTTCGCGGTACGGAGACTTCTTTGACCGGAGATGCTTGATTCTGTACACGAAGCATCGCCAAGTCCCTATAATCAAGGATGGATTATTCCCTTGGCGTCGCTGTTGCAGTCGTCATCAAGATGTCTAAAATTAGTCCACAAAGGTAAAGCTGAATAAAATCCCGTATATAGGTGTTTTCTAGCATAACATATTTTTCGTCAATATTAATAAAATGTGTGCCCGTGACAAAGATTTGTATTATTTATTATCCTATCGTTTTTCTTTTTTTCGAAAATGCAACCTCGATCAGTCAACGCGCGTATGCTGATACGGCGCCCCGAAGTTGGCCATTTTTCGCTTTCTAAAAACGCTAAAATTATTAATAAAGTTCGGTACAAGGGTGACTTTTATCAATCCAATGAAATCAAATACTGCTTCAGAGAGAACTAACATCCTCAACAAGAATCAAAAAAGGTGTTTGTGCGACGGCAATTTATTATGCATCGAAAAGAGCCTTGGAGGTTCTCGAAAGGGTGGCTTTTCAAGAATAAAAAAAAAGCGTGTAACCATACTTGTGTCATCTATTGTACGAGAAACGCATACAACACAGATCGAAGGATTTGTTTTGCCGAAGAAAGCAGTGAAAGGTGTCACACGTAGAACGTGTTCTTCTGGCCGAAGAACCAAAAGACGACGCGGTCACATGGTTTTACACTGAAATTGGCCTTCAGGCCCATTCGCCGTCTCCTGAAAAGATTACACATTGATCAGTATGCCGTTAAAGTATACGCTATTAACCCTTTTCTATGCATCTGAAACCCGTGAAAAGCCGATTATGTCACTAGCGGAAATTGCCTTGCCACTTCCCGGGGAGCAGACTCCTTCATTTCATTCAGGGAAAATCATTAGCCAAAATATTTTTCTTTATATTAATTAAGAACGATTCAAGTACCAAGCATGCTAGAAGCCACACTATATTGTTGAGTTGTTCGGGCCTTTCAAAGATTTTCGTCCGTTCGAATTTTTTATTCTTGTTTTATACGATTATTATAGACTTCGGTACACACGGCCTATAATCGGTGAATTTTGACGTAATTAGTAAAGCATGGTAGTTTCCACTTGTTGTCAGGATAACATTGAGAGACTCTAGGTGTGAACTGCAATTTGCGATCCCGCGATAAGAGTGAAACTGAACCAACGCCATTTCAGCTAAAAACGGGTTTGTGATCAAAGACGGTCTTTGGTCCCGTCCAGTGATAGCAATAATGGTAATAATGACGACAAAAAGCTTCTGTTACTGGAGCCTTTACTCGAAGGCATTAATATGTGCCTGCGTAGAATCCGCGATTAAACCCGAGTATCATGGTATTTGGACTCGCTTGAACACCGAGATCACAAAATAGTTGACGTAGACCTAGTACTTAGCTATAGCTATACTTATAGGTAAAAATCATCCTAGACAACAGTACAAAAATTAGCATCCTATTTATGGAACACCGGTTGAACATAGTAAAACATACGAGCTGAGGTCCGTTAATATTGCTAGCATCAACAATATATATATATATATATATTTATATAGATTTTTACAATTGTACACATAGAGACTGTCAAAAATATCACCGTTCAATATAAAATTTTTCTCCTAGAGCAGAGACAAAGAATCTATCGCTGGAAATCTAGTCGACTGTTTTGTGACGGTTTAAAAAGGTATTCTGGTAGCGAAAAAAACCCTTAGCGGTTCAGTATATCTATAAAGCCCTCTCGGAACCCATCTACTCTTTAGTTCCACAAATCGCTTCAGATATAAGTAGGTATTCGAGGAGATATAATTCGTCTTAGGTGATATATTTAATCTTTACATGTAATTATTTATTTCAGTTTGCTCTTTCTGAATAGCGACATTCGTGAGGATGCTGCAAGCATTGATATCCGCCGAATAGAACCTAAAAAACGGCAAAAATAGCAATAACCACTTTATTTTGCTTTGCAAAGTTTCTTTTCTACCATAGAGATTTATAGTTGCGAGTGTAGTTAAAAATAATATTAAGCATAACTCGTAACGATGGGTTGTCGGAATTGTTGGTAACCACTAAGCCCCAGGGTTTTCATTGTACACTAACGTATTATTGGACTCTCTCTTTGTAACTATTTCAATGAATCAGCTAAGATGTATACAGAAATATATGAACGACCATAAAAATCCACTCCAAAATAGAGTATCCAACTGTAATTCCAGAAGATAACGTTGTCATGATCATGACGCACATGTGCGGATACAGAATCAGAAGCGTTCTATAAATTTATGGACCCGTAGCCGAACTACTGCAACAGTAATGTGTATTTAATAAAACGCATGAAGCGGTGTAGGTATACAATTGATGTACACACACTTCGTTTCATACTGGGGGTCAGTCGTTCGAAGCAATTTTTAGAAAGCCAATATCGGACGTGAAAATCAAAACATAGACGTTGTGTTTGACAGCTAGTCGACTCTACCAGTCGTTTTGGTAAACGTAAAACTTGAAGCATGCAACTTAGAATTTACGATCTAAATCAGATTTGATATTTCGCAAAAATTAAAATGTTTTTTTGCTGTTCTAAATAACTATACTTTTCTCTGGATATAGCTAAACAATCATTTTTACGGCATCCCCTTTCATAATTAGAATATTCATCAGTATTGAAGTAAACCGCATCGATCATTTAGCTTAGAGATCGTAAATTTTTCGTAAAACCAATGATTTATCACATCAAATGACCCCGTACTGACGCGTTCGATAGCTATCGAAGACGTTTCTTTGTTGTTTTCTGTTAGTACGACCGCTGCATTTATTTACGGGGTAGCGTTTTTTCTCATGAAAGCAAGATAAGACATTTCAAAGGATCGCTGCCTCCTATCTCTCGATTCGGCAACGTAAAATATTATCTCATCCCAAAATGATCTGATGGCAAAAGTGTCGGTGGAACACTCGAACCTTAACAGAAGGCCCACTGCTGCGAGCTAAAGAATCCGTAGAAATCAATAATAGTGATGGTCTTTTAGTTGTTCAGGCATTTCATTTAAAATTTCAGACATTGGGTGAATGCTGCATGGCACAGGTAGAACGCGCGGCAGGTAGGAGCGTATAGATAGGTATGTTATGTCGATGGGTTTGCTCCATCGGCAAATGAGTAGTAACTAGGTAGGGCATTTTGGTACGCAATTATGTACATTAAAGATCGAATCGGGCTTACCAAATGCGCTGAATGTTATTAACAACTGATGTTTCCTTAAAGTGGCCAGCAATGCATCTTATGGTCGACGATCCTTTTGAGGGCTTGGACTAAAGGAGCTTGATGAGGTGGTATTCTCAAAGAAAGCAGGGGTCATAATCGATGCCTTCAGTTAAACGTTAAGTGACAGATCGTCGAAGAGGAACGAACGTTTTTCGCCGTTGGTGTTGGTCAAGTGGACTTTTTATTTAGAATTTTTTCAAAAGCTCCTTCATGCATGTATATAATCGACAGTTGTCTGTTAGTGTATGAACTCTGGTGCTGGCCTAAATTTATTTTACCACCTATAGCATCCTCAGGCTATATAAGTTTCTGTCCCAGCTACCCGAAGCACCCAATGAGTAGCTCAAGGTAAAATGCAAAAAAAAAGAACTAAATATAATTAAATGTTGTGGATAGGCAGCTGGACATGGTAGGCAACTGAAAAACTGATAAGAGAACGAGTTTTTAACACGGAATCCTCTTGTCTCAGTTGACTGAGTGGGGCTTAGGTGGTTTGATTCTGTTCATCTTAAGAATTTTTCTTCCTTTTGCGGGTATATATTGTGGAACGTATAATCAGGCCTATTACGTGCTTGCTAAATATGAATATCTACAAAGTGTAAGAAGTAAGGTTACCAGCGTCGATCATGAGGGGTAAATGTTGTTTACAGCGTTGTGATTAATTATTTGGTGACATGGTAACAAATTACTTGTACAAAATAAAGTTTGTTACACTGCTCGTAAAATGCCCATCTAAATAAGTGTGCTCAATTTATAACTTTGTACCATGGTCAGCGCACGTTGAAGATTCATACGTGATAAACAATTAGATGGTAAAGACTACGAGGGAAGTTTATTCCTAAAAACACATACAATTGTATTAGGTAAATAGTCAACAGCAGAGTTGACAAATCGACCGAGATCGTTGTGTTTTCGCAGATTAGTTGTAAATGGCGCTAATCAAATGGAAGCCCATCTAGCCCATTTAGAATATTTTGTTCAAAATCAAACCAAAACGCGCGAATCTTGCAATGAATAAAGCAGATTTACGAAATAAAGTAATTAACCAGCCTCATTAAGTTGCGGAACCTATAACTGGCCGTATCATAGTCGGTATATAAAGAAACATTTGTCGAAAATTATCCGAACATTGCTGAAAGATAATCGGTCCTATTTTATAAACGCAAGTATTGACGCTTTCTTTAGAGTGCAGCAAAGATGATTATTTTCGCATTTAGTTCTCCAGCACTTTTAGACGTTTTATCTTAGGGACTCAATTTTTGTTTTCAAGCGCAGACTGCCTAGGACTATAAAAAGTAGCTTTAGAAATATACCAAGTTCTTCATTGTGCCTTTTTCGGTGAAACTTGAGGAAGAACTGAGAAACCCAGTTTTTTCTTAACAGTGAATGTGGTGTTATCTTCCAGCCCAGTTTACAGTACCAGTAATGCCCAACGGAGAGCACGGCTTATGCATATATAGTAGTACTTCATTTGAGGATGATCCAACATATATTCTTCCCGCTGTCAAGAACAATGGCGTCTTAACAAAAACAGATCAAAATAGAGTCACTAATAACATTTCAGCAAGTGGCCGACCTTCAGGCGTCCCGGTTCGACAAAAGGGTCGTCGAACCGGGACGCCTGCGACGACCTCCAACGGGGCCTTTGCACTTTGGTTCGATCCTTTTCTTTGCTTGTTTTAGTATGCAACGATTTCCAGCTCCTTCTTGTGATGTGACAAAAATGCAAACGGACCTCACGTAATCGAGAGAAAGCGACTAATAAAAATGAAATCGTCCCAGAATCAGGTGCCGTTGGCGTTAAACCTGTATTATTACTCAGCAAACCCGTCGAAACAACCAGCGAAATTGTTTGAGACAGTCACCAAATGCCGTTCTTCGTTACAGAAAACGCACACATTTGACGGTCGTATCGCAAAGCCCATGCCTCATCGGTTCCTATGTCATATCATCCCAGCTATCAAAGCGCTGTATTGGCCTATTGATAACAATCTACTTATCAGGAGGCGTTTAATATCTGATTGTTGAGCTCTTAAGTCTACAGGTAAATGATACACGTTTGAGGTGGTGAAAATTTGTTAGGTAAAGCGGTGTATTTGAACAATTTTTATTTGTAAAACCATCTTTTCTATGCTAGCGTTGAGTACTACGATGAGTGGTACGGATCGTGGTCCACTAAAGTTCTAGAGATCCACGCCTGGTTTGCCAAGATTTAGTAACGCGAACATTATGAACATTTAGGCAAAAGTAGGCTTTAGGGGAAGTTTGGCTTCGCAAACGGATACCATCCAAGCTTAAATCCTCTTTAAAAACCCAATCACAGAGCCCTATCCAACGAGAGATAGTTCATATATATAAATGCTGCCTTCAATTCCAACTTTCCAACTCGTACCCTCGTTAGCATTGAAGTTGGTGTAACGAAAGCGAAACCTTCTTTAAATCATTTTCATTTCCTCAAAGTTCGTTGTACATTGTTTTTTTTTTGTCTCAGTGAACTTATCAAGGTGAAATTTTTTTGCATAGGATACTATGCAACTAACTAAATAAAGAAATCTGGCATAGAGTAGCATAGGGGGTAAGCATACTAAATGAGGCAATTAAGCTGACGAGTAAGAAGTCAGTTAATGTAAGATGAAATTAATTATCCAAATCGCTCAAGTTTGATAGAAGATGAATTTCAATACATTTGCTTTCTAAATTAATTACGAGGTTGAACCGAGAGTCTCGCTTTTAGGTGCCCACCTCAAGCTAGCTCGCTGATACATTTTTAGAAAGCTCTGCCGCTTTCGTGAACATTACGCATTTTCCCCAAATTCTTTAAACAAAAAAATGTTACTGTTAGCGAAGGACGTAATTAGCGACTAGACATTTATAAATATATATA